CATAAATTGACGTAGGTTTCCTTAAATAAATATCAGCTACCTTTTTTAGGGTTTAAATTTTAGTACGGATTATCTCTTGCGTGCTGTGTGAACCTTTTCCAATGCATTTATCTGCCACAGTCACACTCACTGACTCCTCACACATTCTGCCAAAAATAATTCTGGCATCTGAATATCTCTGCATGCARCCTTGGTATAAGCCAGAGTCTGACAAATATCTCTGCAGAGTGACAGGCATGTATCTGCTCCAGTAGTGATGCACTGAGTACAGCTGACAGCTGAACACTGAGCAGTCACTGTGACGAGGACTTTAGGAGCTAAATAGGTGAACACTTCATGGATCGTTCCTGCTGTCATTCAAACCACAGCCTGTGTGGAAATCTGCATTAATTAATCCTTACTGTCATGTAAAATGAACAAATTACATCATAAACTGATTGGGAAAATCTTGTGCAAATCCTGCAAACAAACTATTTCCTCATGCACAAGTAAAAAAATGGATGTGTACCCTCTTTAGTCCAATTTTCTCTACAACTTAAATTATTTTTTAATACATATCAAATCAATTTCAGCAAAATTGCCTAAATATTGATTTCAAAAAGGACTTTTCTCAGCTTTTACTAGGGCTGAGCAAAATGGAATTTTTTCATACTGACAAAATATCTTTAAATAATAATACTGTGGTATACTGTATTACCAGGGCAGGGGGTGGTGGGGTTGCATGGTCTGTGACGTGTTGATTAATGACTAATTAATGTGGAAATGGAAACATTCCAGAGCCAGAGAGAGGAGTGACATTGTTAAAGGACAGATGCAACTTTTTTGCAGTATTTACATGATGCACATTCTGATCTGAAATGTAACACCCACTGCTCTTTTATGACTTCATAGAAAGCCCCATAACATKACTGATGCAACTTCTGACCACTTCCGTTCATTCACAAGACAGCTGGAGGAGACAAGGAGGGAAGACCTCCATCTGTTGTGCCTCTTAACCTCCGTGGGAAATAGTGACAGAAACTTTACTCGTCGACTCCTGGAAAGGTGGGCCGGCATAGTGCGGTCTGACACCTTGG